CTTGTCTCTCGCAACGTGATTAAATTCTATTCTTCAGATTATATTTCATCCTTGCAGAAAAATACATTTCGACTGAATAATGTTTTGATGTACGTTCAGTTACGATATAATTATTGAGATTTGATTCAATGTTAAATGTTAACGCATTTTCCCATTATCCGAATGTAATTATACTGGGGTAACCGAACTCGCGCGTAACGTTAGAACGTTTAACCCACTATGTCGATTATATAGTTTCGACGAAGCTACCAAATACCAAAATCACAGGGCTAATTGACAAGATCATGTTTCAATGACATTGAATTAAGTATCGCTCTGCTACCTATTGCTATTTATTACGGAGCACTCGAATCCTGCAACGAGATGCAATTTCCATTCTAATTTTCCTTTTGCTCTCGGTCAACTCTATTTAATAATATTGCTAATGAATTTAATTCATACGTTGAGTACGACGTGAATTCTCTATGTAAAAATTTCACCTTTGGCTCGCATTAAAAAATTCACATTTATTACTCTCGAATTTGAAATTGTGCAAAGTTTTTTTATACGCGCTATGAAACATTTCCGTAATTACTTTGAAAATTTACTCTGAAAATTCTTATTTGTTAAATGTTGATCCCGTGATTGTCAGACAATTCTTTCAAAAATAAAAATTTGTCTCGCTAAGCCCGCGACACCCCGTATACAACTGTTTCGAACGAAGAGACAGGCTGCGGTAGAGACCGGTGGTTAGAAGAACTATAAGAAGAAGTAGAAGAGTGTGGTGCACGCGTGCGGCAGCCCGTCGAAATAGCAGTTTAGCACTGATAACACTTGGCAGACTTTTATCGATCATGTCTGGCAACAGATGGCTCACCCAATTCCGGGCGGCGCGTTTTGTCTGGCTGGCTGATAAACGATAACTAATACGAGACACGGGAGTACGCGGGGCCAGGATGGCGGAGAGCAAGAAGAGAGATAACGGCGGGATGGTGGCCACGTTAGATATTGTTTCACGGTCTTTTAACCGGCGACGTGACGCCCCGATGATCTTCGCTATTGTTCCGCAGCGCTTTTTTGACGACGCGCAACTTATATACTCTCTGGCTGATTTAGAAAAAGTCATTATTGGAAACACAAGTGATGCTTGAGGAAAATTCTCAACATTTTTCAAAATTACTTACTAGCATTGATATTTCCTTGATAATACCGCTTTTCTTGTTTATATAAGGCAAAGGTATTATTTTTAATTTAAAGGTATTATATTTTTTAAGTAATTTCCCTTTTTACGAAGCAAAGGTCTTATTTTTTAATTTCTTTCGTGATAAGCTCTAGAATCGTAACAAAACATAACTGAGAACTGTGAACATTTAATCTCTCAAATTATTCGACGACATCAAATTATTATTAATTACATATTTTTAATTATATATCTTTTCTATTTGATATTTTATGTCACTTTGTCAAATTTATGTAATGCAAATGTAGCGTCGGTTGATTAATATGTACGCGCGTAACCGTTATGAATCATCCTTTATGAATTATGAAACACAAAACAGTAAGAGAGTTTTTGAAATATTGAAAATTCTCTTGTATAATATCGCAGGAGAAATCAAAATCCGCAGACTCTCTTATAATTTAAAGCAACGCGATCTTCATCCCGGAGATACGCCGCGACTCCGATATCGAGTCGCCATTTATCAAGGTAAATCCATAATCCCGACCGCGCGCAATCTGTGACAAGAACATCCCCGGAGGAGC